CTTGCCGTGCACACATTCTTAGGTCTCATGAAGCAACTTTCAAACGTATACTCAATGTAAGACTGTATTTTGCAGGTCCCATGAAAAGGAATCGAGGAGGAGTGGAGGTGGATTTTGAGACTCCGGGCTCTATCCTGGTCAACACCAACATTCGTGCTCTCATCAACACACGCACCTTTGCTGCTTTCCCCCCTCACTCCCAGCAGCAACTACTCCAGCTTTTACCAGAGGTGGACAGACAGGTATAAATATCGAGGAATTTTAGAATTTTACAATTGTATAAATGTTTTTTTTTTTTTCACCTAATTTTCATTCTTTTAATGCATAGGTTGGCCCCGATGGCCTTGCTCGGCTAAGCAGCTCGGCCCTTAATAATGAATTTTTCACTCATGCCTCCCAGAGCTGGAAAGAGCGTCTAGCTGAGGGTGAATCTCTTACTTTTGTCCTGTAATATTTGAAAAGAAATGTCAGAAACTGACCAAGACATGTGGCTCTAGGCAATTTACTATATTGGTGGATAAAGTGAAAATATTTTTACATTCTTGAAGGTGAGTTCACTCATGAGATGCAGGTCCGCTTCAGGCAAGAGATGGAAAAGGAGAAGAAAGTTGAAGCATGGAAAGAGAAGTTCTTTGAGGAATACCATGGCCAAAGGTTCAAAAGCCTTTTTTTCCCTATTTTTTTTTAATCTTTGAATTATTTTGTTAATCTGATTATTAATGTTGAATCTGTTTTTTTTTTTTGTTTGTTTGTTTTTTTAAGGTCTGGCTTGACAAGAGAAGAGTCGTTAAAGCTCACAATGAGCGATGCTGGAGATGTTGCCGGTGCAGTTTTAGACTCTGATTCTGCTACAGTGGCTACACCCAAGAGGCGAAGTGTTGGAAGAAGACGGAGGGAAGGCCGTATCAGACGGCGTTCACGAGCTGACCTCAGACGTAGAGCTCGGCGCTCACTTTGCAAAAATACAACGGCAACTTTACCATCAGAAGAAACAACAGAGAGTACTGCAACTCCAGATGTTATACCATTAGTTGCATCACCAGTCCCAGAAGCAACAGCAGTTCAGGCAGAGGTGGTCCTCCAAACAGACATTGGACTGGAAGCTCCAGAAGAAAACCTCTCTGCAGAGGCTGTCCCCTCCCCTGTTCCTGTACCTACGCCTCCTCCAGAATCCACAAGTTCAACCTGCGATGAACCAGAAGCCTCCACAGGCCTGTTGCCTGAAGTACCTGAACCAGCTGTTGCATCTACCTCCTCTCCTTCCTCTTCCTCTTCTTCAACATCGTCGTCATCATCGCCTTCTTCCTCTCCCTCCTCTGCCTCAGACAGACAGACTTTTGCTGCAAGCTCAGACTCCTCTTCTTCCTCTTCCTCCTCCACCGCTGCTGTTGCCACCGATCCGCTGGATGATGGGGCTTCAGTCATTACCACTGGCACAGCAGGCACTGGTGCAAGCAGCAGGGAGAGCAGCCCCGCAGCCAGTCCCGCCACATCAAGTCCAGCAATTCAGCTCAAGGAGCAGAAGAGAAGGCCAGACGAGTCCCAGGCCTTCACCAGCTTTCCCGAGAAAAGGGCGCGACTGGATGAGCGTCAGTCCTTTCGTAACACAGTTGACTGTGTGCACTCAGAAAAGCCACAACCTACAACAGAGGAGCCCAAGGTCCCGCCAATCCGGGTATGTTGGACATGTTATTTTTTCCTAGTAGTCTATTGTAAACCTCTATGTAGTTAAAAACTATCTCCATGAGTTTAAACCTTATCTCGTATGCGTGTTTCTTTTCTACCCACTCTACTAGATACAGCTCTCCCGGATCAAACCGCCCTGGGTCAAGGGGCCGCCAACGTACCAAATCTGTCCCCGCATCGTCCCTCCTAACGAAGGGTCGCGGCGCTCTGGGACAGGGGCGCGCACCCTGGCGGACATCAAGGCCCGTGCACAGCAAGCCCGTGCCCAGCGAGAAGCCGCTGCTGCTGTTGCAGCCTCTGGCGATGGGGGAGGGCCTGGGGGGAGCGGCCCGGGGGGTGGTACTGGGATACCGGATCGCTCCAGCGGGAGGCGTTCGAGAGAGCACCCAGGTCCCGTTGAACCAGGAGGAGGAGGAGGAGGAAGACGAGGAGGAAGAGTTGATTTGGAGGAGCAGGAATCGCCTGCGAGCTCTCATTCGTCTGGAACACAACTACAGTTGTCCAGTGTAGATTCAGCTGACAGGCCTCAAACCTCTACCCCACTGACTGAACCATCTCCCTCCTCTGTGTCTTCAAACCCATCCCTACCCCCATCAGAGTCTCCAAAAACACTCACGCTATCGCCACCTGCAACCGACAGCCCTACTTCCCAGGACCAGGTGGAGGAGATTTGTGGAGAGGAAGAGATGACTGCCTGCCCAAGTGATAAAGCCTCGGAGCAGACCTTAGACACCCCAGTGCCTACGCCAAGTGATCCAGAGTCTTTTTGTAGTCACCAAGACCCCAGAGGTGAGGAGGCAGAGTCCAGTGAGAGTAGAACGACTACTCCTATTTGCACCTCAGCATCAAATGATGCCATTTCTTTAGTACCCACCTCTATACCAGACTCTCTGCCAAGATTTGGCGCCCAGGGTGTGGATGTCATCAGGACTTTGGCAGCTTCTCAACCCTGGGAAGGTGAAAAGAATGGTGGTGAGCTTCACCCAGGGACAACTGGAGTTATTCAGCATGGCTCAGACTTGAAAATGCCCAAAGAGACACTTGTTACAGCCCGAAATGGATGGGTAGAAAGTAGTGAAGAGCATTCCATGAGAGAGGGGATGCTACAAGAACATAGTAATGGAGAGAGTGATGCTGATGGCAAATATGAATCAGGCTCTCTACCTTGTCTACCTAGTAATGCTGGCGAGGAAGACACTGGAGCGCACAGTGATTCAACAGAGACGGCATCTGACTTTGAAAATGAAACTCAGGAGGATGAAACCGTGGATTGGCATGAAACCCAGATGGATCTTAACGGCATGCATGCTCAGAATACAAAGTCACAGAATCATCCTGTCATTCAGACCTCAAGTCGACTGGCTTCATCAATGTTGAATCCTCCTCAGCACCAGCAACCAGTCATACAGGCCCATATATCTAACCCCAACCATACCCAAACTGTCATTCAGGCTCGCTTCCCTAATGGTGTGCCAAACCAGCCAGTCATTCATTCCCACAAGCAGCATACAATTCATACCCATGCTATAAACCATGCTCAGGAACAGATTACCACTGCGCCCTCACAAGCCCAAGTGCAAGCTTACCTGACACAGGCAGTGAGGGACCAAAGCAGACCTCTACGGCTGAATGATAATGGCAATGATGTGAAGCTGTTTGTTTCAACAGAGGATGACACCAAACCTCTGAGCAGAGGTCCTGGAGAAGATTTTGTTTTAAATGCTGCTGGTCCTCCAGTTGGCAGACGATTCCAAGGTTCATCTCGACCAGTTTCCTCTGTAGAGGCCAACAACCCTCTTGTCACCCAACTTCTTCAAGGCAGCCTACCCTTAGAGAAGGTCTTACCCCAGCCTCACTCAGTCAGCAAGCTGGACATTAATCGACTTCCAGGTTCCCCTGTAAGTAACTCAGCCAGTCGTCAACCTCCAAGAAATCTGGGACCACGTTTTAGAGGCCCGTCTGAGTCCGGAGGACCTATAGAAACTGGTGTCTCTGACTTCCAACAAAAATCCCCATCCGTTCGAGTATCTCCTGGACCTGGCCGAAACTTCGGTTCTTCGCCGCCGAGTTCTGCTCCATCTCGAATGGCATGTTTGTTTGAGGAAGCCAGCCCAAGAACTACAAATGTTCAGTTCAGTTCTCAACAACCAGGAGGTGCAGTGCCCTCAGGAGCAGTGCCTGTCATAACATCCCTTCCATCAAACTCCTCTGCTAGAACTTCAATGGATATGAACTCTCAGAATGCTCCAGTTTATGAATCAGCTGTCATTAAAGAGCACCCTGGACCTCTTCCTCCGCGAGGTGAAAATCTGGAGAGGCCAGCTGGCTTTCAACAGCATCCCAACAATCTCTCCCAGTCTGTGTGCAGAACTGCACCTGATGCTCCCTCACCTCCACACGGTGAGCTTTGTCCGTCGGAGGTTGTACCTACTGTTAAGATTAACTGGCGCCCAAGCAAACCTCAACCACCCCAGCATCAGACGTATCAGCAACAGCTTTCTCCTATAGCTACAATCAAGAATGAAGTCTCCTCGCGCCCTTCGTGCCAACAAGCTCTGACCAAAAACTCACCTGCTCCTATCATTGGCAATACTTCTGTTGTAATAACCAAAAAGGAACCTCTGGACAGTTTTCATGGAGGTGGTGGAGCTATGGAAGGACTGCTAAATATGGAAATGTCTCTTGTCAGAATGGCTAAAAAGGAACAAGTCAGAAATCCATATGCCCGTCAAGCAGACACCTCTGCTTCCCCTGTCTCCTCCTCTCCTTCCTCATCTGCCTCCAGTCTCCCTTACCAGTTATATAGCAAGCTACCAAAACTGCAGCAGAGTGGGGGCAACGGAGGTTCCTCATCCAGCTTCAGTTACACAGCTAATGTGTCTGTGGTGGACGGTAGCGGCTTCTCCCGCAGTTTAGCCGACGGTGTGCTGCAGATAAGGCCACGTGTGAGCGTCAGCAGCGGTGGGGGCCAGAGCGCCACGCTTAGCATTCAGGCATTTGCGGACAGTGCAGCAGAAGAAGTGGCTCTCAAGTGTTCCTGCCGACTTAAGGCTATGATCATGTGCCAGGGCTGTGGCGCTTTCTGCCATGACGATTGCATTGGCCCCTCGAAACTGTGTGTGTCATGTCTGGTTGTCAGATAGTTTGCTGCAGCTCCTCAAAACTGAGTCGACTGGTCAGAGCAAATACTTTGATCACTCCAGACAATTCTAGCCCCTTGCCAGTGGTTGAATACCACTGGAAATCTTGGACTCTTATGAGCAAAGAGTGAGGACACTGCAGTATTTAAACGGGCCAGATTTTTTGTTGCTGGGCCAGGCAATACAGTAGGGCTGGAAGATTACTTGTAAGATAAAATTCAGTCTGTATTTTTGTTGCATATTTTTTCTATTGCTGTTATGGTGTTATTATTACAATAATAATGATATTGTTATTATTATTGGTATTATTACGTGAATTTACATGGCACGGTCGATTGTAAATTGTGCCTTTTTTTTCCTCCAACAAAACATTTACCTCATCTACTTGACACCAGTCATCAGTTCAGTGTGAAAATGGTGGCGTTCCTTTTAGTTTTCTTCTCTTGATGCCTCTCTGTGAAGAGAGCTTTATGAGAATTGTGTAATGTCTTGCAAAGAAATATTTTTTTAATCATTAAACAAGAAAATACATTTTTGTTATTTTGCAAGTGCTTTCACTCTTTTCGTTTCCATTTTTATTTTCTTATCCAAAGTGAAGTCCAGTCTGTACTTGGCGGTTAAGCACAGTATTCAAATCTAATAAAGCTGAAAGTGAGCGTATTTTCTCTATTTGAACTTCTTTAACTGAGGGTAAGATGGGCCAAAGTTGTGTTGGTGGTATCAAAGAATATCATGGTATGCATTTCCACAGCTTGTGCAGATATTTCTTTGAATGTTACCCATTTAGTAAATATTTGTCTCCTGTCCTCTGAAATGATGCATTTATTAATTTAATCAGTCTTGCATGTGAGCCCAATGTCAAGAAGTTTTGATTTAAATTTTACATTAAATGGTTGGAGAGACAACTAGATATAGTTTATCTATCAGAATACAAACATAATGCTTTGGTTTTTGTGTTCTCCAAACAAGTTTGAAAACTGGAAACTGATTCGTATGTCAAAACAACTTGGACCCTCCAGTCTTTGCAACATTTCATTTGCATGATGATGGATTATAACTCGCATTCCATATTTTAGCCTTTTAAAAAAATTTGATACTTCTAAGGTAAAATATTTTGGGTCATCATGATAAAGACAATAGAAAAGATCAATTTAAAAAAAATGGTTATTGAATTAGTCCATTCTACATCACTTGACAGTGCCCATCAGTGCATTTTATAATTAAATTAAAATATATATTTTAGAACTGATTACACAACTATAGACCTTTTATACATTTAAAAAGCAAAAATGCAAACATAAGCCCTGAAAACAGTACAAACCCAAGACCGTTTTAAATTGGCAAAATACCTTAGAAAATCAAAGTCTTTTATTTTGAAATGTCCAAAAACTTTACTAGAGAGATTGTAGGACAATCACATTTTTTTTTTAACGTGCCTTTGTATCTTCACACAATTAGACATTTGTTACAAATCCATACACCAGAATATTTAGATTTTCACTTTTCATAGTAAATCTAAGAACTGAAACTAGATGGTAACACACACAAAACAAGTGAGACTATACTGCATTTATGATTTAGCAAATTGATAGCCTCTGGTCTTGTCTTCATTTAAAAAAAATCACTCCACAAATAACATGAAACTTAATTCGTTTTCACTCCATTTCTTGTTTCTGTGTTGATGGTTTGCATCATAGACCATGAATCCAGACTTTAAACTTTGGTGGAACCAAATGAGACTTCATTTCCCCTCATCGATAACTTCACCCCTCATTGGCAGAAAAAAAAGTGGTGTAATGCTATGAGCAAGATCACCAGGATAATGTGAAAGTGAGTAACTAAAGAGCCATGGACTCTTAAAGTAACAGTGATGGGTAGCTGTAAATGCACTGAAATCTACTTCTCTCTGTAATAAAGAAGATACATCTTGAGAGGCTCTGGCAAAGGCAGGCTGAGGATTCTCTCCCTTAAGAGGTTTACTGGAGTCTCTATCACCAAAACACTGCCCTCCTTCCTCCTCTCATTCTCTTCTTTATCCTCTAGTTGCTCACAAACCCTACTGCAGTCTTCATCCTCATTCTCATTGTCTGTGTTTGACTGGTTGTTGTTGTTGTCCATGGGTCCGGGAATTAAGCGACTCATGAACAAATAACTGTTGGTCAGAAGAGGGGTGTCACGGTGCTCACGTTTCTGTTTAAAGTGATTTCTTCGCTTCAATCCAGTTCTCTGGGGTAGTGGCAAGGATCCAGACCCAGATCTCTTTAGAATGTGACGGATGGTGATGCGGGCCAAATCCTGAAGACTTCGCACCTCGAACATGGCAGCTGCGTTTTATTTTATTTTTTTACTGAATTTATACACACACAATTCTTACTCTAAATACGCTAACGTTCAAAAGATTAGGTAACGTTTTTTATGTTTTTAAAATTTGTCTCTCATGCTCACCAAGGCTGCATTATTTGATTTAAGAATACAGTAAAATCATTAATATTGTGAAATATTATAACAATTTAAAAGAACTGTATTCTATGTAAATATATTTTAAAATGTAATTTATTGCTCAATTTTCGGCATTAATTTAGTGTCACATGATCCTTCAGAAATGATGTTGAAAACCTTTGTTGCTTGATATTTTTGTGAAAATTGTGAAACATTTTTTCAGTATACTTTGATGAACAGAAAGTTCAAAAGAATAGCATTTACATTAATTATTTTTTACTGTCACTTTTGATCAATTTAATGCATCCTTGCCAAATTAAAGTATTTCTAATAGTGTATAAAAAAAACAAAATATTTAAGCTAAAAAATGTAATATTGTTTAAAATCAGAGCAATTTAAGTGTACACAAAATACAGCAGATTACTTACGTAGGGACACTGCTCTTGGTTTGCCATTTTCCCTATGTTTAGGGAGCACAAGTGGTGCGAAGGACACAGCAATTATCTTTCTTGTTTCCCATGTGTTATATCCTGTCCGAGTTATTTTAGTGAGCTAGAACAAATGAGAAATGCATATCCATTTCACACATGTATCTCCTGGATTACCTGAGACCAGATGCATTGTAAGATTGCATTATTCACCTTTTCTTCCAGTGGCAGTACTAAGATTCCCCCAACCTTCAACAACTTCTTCATGTAGTCTTCATGTTCCCTCTGGACCCCTGCACCACAATAAACTCTGTCATACTGCCTACTTTCTGGAGCAATTTCCAGACAGTTGCCCACTACAAAGGAGGGCTCACAGAACTCAAACCTAGACCAAAAGATTAGACATGTCAGTCACCAAATCCAAAATTTTGCACGCTACACTTTCAATACAGTTTATTTTTAAAACAAAAGTAACTGCACCTGTCAAAACTTTCATTCGTCTTGATGAAGAAGTCCAGCTTCTGATAAGCGTATTCTATAACATCTTCATGCAGTTCAACACCATGATTCACGCCAAATGGCCCTAAATATATGACACAGAAAGTCAAGTATTATATTTAGCAGAAAATGGATAATCCACCCAAAATTGAAAATTTGCCATCATTTACTCACCCTCATGTTGTTTTACTGTATTACTGTATTACTTTATTGCTTTTCTGGAACACAAAAGAAATATTTTGCAGAATGTAAGAAACCAAACCTTTTTGCTTACCATTGACTTTCGTTGTGTGGACAAAAAATACAATGTAATTCAATGGGAAGCGAAACTATCTTCTTTCATGCTACCCAGAAGAAAGAAAGCCATCCAGGTTTGGAACGACACAAGGATGAGTATATGATGACAGTATTTTCATTTTTTGGGTGGACTAAACCCAAAAAAATAAGCAGAACAAAATCAAATCAGTCAAATTCTCTATTAACCTACCCAGTATGAGTCCCACCATGGTGCTGAGGTAGCCTGTGCCACTGCCTAGGTTTAGAAAAGACAGGCCAGGCTGCAGGTATAAAGCCTCCATCACCTCAGAGTAGATGCAGGGTGCAGAAAGGTGGATGTTACCGTGTCTCCAGGCCAAATCCTTGTAGGCACTGTCGCGGAATTCTTCCAGATAGTAGTCAGCACGATCAATGGCTCTGAAGGCATGTTCGACCAGATCAGAGCGAATGTATTGGGCTTCTTTCAGGTTGTCAATCAACTCGTCGTTGTCCTCCCCAGCACTGACCGCACCTCCCATTTTGGCTTTGTTTGGGGCTAAACATAGTATAAAATAAGAAAATTAAAGACATGCAAGCATAACTGAATAAGTAACACAAGAAACATACTTCCTGTTGATTAATAAAAATTATAATAATTGATCAATAACCACTTTCCTCTTTTTCTTGCATAAGTCTATAACAGTGATTTACAAGTGGTTTTGCTTGAGGACACAGCACAGTATCACAAATGATTAACACACAAAAGTAAACAAAAATGTCCTTAAAAACAAACACTGAAATATATTAGGTAACACTATTTTACAATGGCCTTTTTCCATGTTACATGGAGTTACTGTAGTAATAACTAAATTATGTATAATTACATGCAACTATAAACCAAACCCTCTTCCTAACCCTATAGTACAGGGGTGCCCAATCCTGCTCCTGGCGATCGACTGTCCTGCACAGTTCATCTCCAACCCTAATCAAACACACCTGGATGTGATCCTAAAGACCTTAATTGACTACTTCAGGTGTGTTTGATTAGGGTTTGAGATGAACTGTGCAGGACAGTCGATCGCCAGGAGAAGGATTGGGCACCCCTGCTATAGTAAGTACATGTAGTAAAAAAAAAATTGCGGGAAATCGCAATGTTTAGTGAAAGGTAAAACTTCCGAAATCTCCGTGTAAACAATGCGTGACATAGACGCGCGAGAGCTCACTTCCGGCGTAACTTTGGAGACGGTTCAGTTCGTCGGTTCAGTTGAACATCTGATTCGATGCTGTGGAAACAAAGACACCTACATCTTGGATGCCCTTGAGGTAAGCTAAAACATATCAAAAATTAATTTCAAAGTGAACTATCCCTTTAACTGAATAAGAATCTTTATTAAAAATCCCAATGACCCCAGTGTAATTTTAGTTAAATATCTCTTGAATATTGATGTTAACCTTCTGTTGGCTGCCAATAGTTTACCACATAAAACCATTTAGTTGACACAATGTGGTTAGCTATATCCTATTACGGTTACTGGTTAGCTATATTATTAGTTGAATTTTGCATTGTTTTTTATCCCAGCCATCCGCAAACAGAAGCAATTTGGATTGTGACACATGTTGAGAAGAATCACTGTTTTACAAGATGAAAGACATGGCTTTCACTATTTTTTTGACAAACAAACATTTCCCAAACAAATCTGCTAATCATTCTGAACACTATTCACAAGTTTAAAAATTCTTAATAACTTTTTGCATAAGAAGCGTGTTTGTGTTGCATTTCTCTAAAATAAATACCACTCTATTAACGTTACGTTACCTATTTTGTTATGTAATCTAATGCCACTCATATTACGTTAGGTGTCTAAATCATTTTTGAGGCCACTGTACATGACTCGGACTTGGACACAACAAAACAGCATTTTTGTCCAGTTAACGGATGAGGGCGCTGGACTACATTGTCGGAAAGTTAAAGCTTCCCCAGAGACGCTGTGTGGAAACTGCAGATGTGAGGAAGGTTTCCACCAATCACTGCGCGCTCAAATGCAGCTGCGCCATTCGCTAACAAACGCATATTGTGCTGTGTTTTTATTGAACATCCGGGTAGTTTCTCAAAATAGAGTTAAATATGAAATAACACACATATGCCCATTATTTTAACCACAGCCTGCCATTAATTCATTCTGCATGCAAGACTACAGGTTAACCTCAATGAAAATATACTATATAAAAGAGTTTATCATTCTATTATCACGCCAGAAACACACTATAACAGCAAGCACGACTCATATAAAGCGCTTACCTGCAAAAAGTAGGCAAAAATGAACACAAAGGAAAGGAGAAATGGAGATGGGACTGGATTTTGGGGAGAAACTCGTCACGGGAAACACCCCGACGACTTTACAGTCGACCGAGCTGAACCGTCTGACGCTGAGACACGAATCTATGGTCCGGTGATGATGTCCATTCGAGTTAATTCAAGTTAATAGTCTCCCGTTGTTTCTTCTATGTCTCGGTTTCTCTTCATAGACGTCCACGGCGAGCTGCGCTGGATGTAAACATTGGCCTGCTGACTTCGTGACGTCAAGCCCACAAACAGAAACATGGACCAGTCACATGTTGTCACACCATATGGGGTAAGTTGTCACAAAGGACAGCTATTGCTTAAACAGCAACATACAGTAAAATAAATGTATAACTTTTAAAAGATGTGACAACTACCTCTGGTCTCTTATAAAAGTTGTACATTTTAAACGAACACATTCAAAATGTTTAATATTTGCCTTGAGTATCATCAATATTTTTTTAAATATTGGGCTAAATATTAATCTTGTCAAAATGCAAAGACATCCTTTATGTTTGCAAGTTGATATTTTTTATGCAGCCATAATCAGCTGAAGAGAAATCGTGACTGAATCAATGTCTATCCAGCAGATGTCAGCCAATACTGAGAGAGTGTTTGGTTTCTCTTTCATCTTTGCTCTGATAATTGTCAGATAATTCAAAGTTAATTGGACTGATCAGTATCTTACAAAATATCATTGTTGGACCAAAGGCAAACACAATCTTGGTTATAATAAATCATGAGAAACGATCAGTGTAAAATATGACATACTCTCTGTTGTAGGTGATAGAATTCCCATTTATTTTATCAACAACATGGGCAAAGACTATCCATATGCAGCAACCACTAACACAGAGACATTTACAAAATAAATATGCAACGAGATCTCCATTCAATTTGTTCTTAAATACTAAATAAATAACAATAAATACATCATATCTGTTCAACCCACTTCACTCTGGAGGGTGTCAAAATACTTTTATGGAAAACAGAACTCATTAAATAAATGAGAATATTAAAAAACAATATAAAAATTGTTAGGTAGAAAATATTTGCACTTAAAAAAGAGATTATAAATCTCTGTCTTTAAAATAAATAGGAAGGTTTATAAAACAATTTGCTGTCGATATTCTTAAAATATTGCCTCTTTCACAGCTCAGAGGGCAACGTCTCTCCTCTTAATAACTGCTAAAAGCTGTGTATAGTGTTTTGCTTTGTAAAATAAATTAAGTCCATAAATAGACACTGATTAATAAATAAACAAAATAAACCTTAACATGAATAAATAATAAATTAAACTTACATTTCAAGGACCCAATTTAAATAGCCATAATAATAATAATAATAATTACAATAATAACATGACAATGGAACTACAAACTATTCATGGAAGTGCAATATCTATGTTCTCAAATACGATAAATATTACTGAATGGAACATGAGCCCATTTACACCAAATATGAGACGACATTATCATACAGGGATCAAATGTAGCAGTGCCGCATACTAATCTTATTTTGTCCAGGGAGGTCATTAATCGTGAATTCACCTTCGGACGTTACACGTAAAGCACTCTGTTACACATACACACATAGACTCACCCCCACAGACACACACGACAATCTCACGACTTATTGTTCACGGCAACCTCCATGCACTGAGGGAAGTAAGAAAGGCAGATCAGTGTCGGTGAGAGTTGCTCTAGAAAACAGTAACAAATGGTTTGCTCCAAAAAGTACCCCAAAAGAAGAAGAGCCATCTTGGTTTAAGAGGCAAAGGATCTTGTATCTCATCAAAATTGCTAAGCAGCATAATTTGGAATTTGGTCCTTTTCTCTTGACTTCCACGGGTCTTGTGACGTTCCTCGTTTTCAGAGGGCGCCACGTACAAAACCTGAATGTCCTTAAACAGTATTTTTATGTTGTTGGTCTGGTTATTCAACCCACAGTGTCTTACTCCTCTGCTCACACCTCAATGCCTTTGACGGCCTGGTTGATCGACTCGAGTAGGGCTCGGTTCTCTGGGTTCTGATAGCACTCCTTATCTGTGAACATGTGGGTCAGCGTATCCACGTATGTGTCAAAATTCTGCTCAGTGATGGGCTCTTGCTGTGGTAAACAAAAGATTGTGGTTTGTTAAAAGCAAGCTAGAAAAAAGGAAGGAAAAGTGTAATGTACACTACTTGTGTTTGATGGGCATAGTAATAAAAGGTAATAGACAGCAAGTAGACTGACCATCTGTGGTAGACGGATGTTGGCAAGGCTGCGGATAAGAGTCTGGCTCAGGCCTGACAGTTCCATGAACAGAGCCTCATTCTTCTCCTCTATGAGCTTATTCTCTTCCTCCATGCTCTTGAGGTTCTTCTCCATGGATGAGATCTAAGAATAGAAATGCATGGATAAACAGCAGCTCCGAGATCATGCTTTCTAATATTCTATTTGATGTATAGTAAATATTATCATTATGCTGCGCTCTCAAAGAATGCATCTTATGGAAAGAAGTCCCCAAAGATCCTACTTTCAATTATGGAATTTTCAGTGATGAACAACAAAAATGCTTGTTTGTCTAGCCTTTACATGTGGTTATCAGTGAAGGGCCAAATGCTATATGCTCAGATTTTATTACATCTGTATTAATAAAGACATTTGTCTTTATTAGTTTCTGGGACATGTAGTCTACTGTTCAAAAGTTTGGGGTCAGTAATCATTTCTATTTTGAAGGAAATGTATATTTTGTTCAGCAAGGATGTAATAACTGAAAAAAATGACGATAAAGATTTGACTTTTTTAAATTCTATTTTAAATGCTGTTAAACTTTCTATTCATCAAAAAAGTTGTCTTCACAAAAATATCACACACCAAGGACTGGAGTAATGGCTAAAATAAAATAAAAAATGGGGGGAAATTCTTTGCAATCACAGGAATAAGTTACGTTTTAATACATATATTAAAATAGAAACCTGTAAAATAGAATAGTAGTGGATATATGTATTTGCTAAATGTAGACCTGTGTATGGAGGTTGGCCATATCTGCTTCCATTTCAGAGTTTGACTCATTCAGCTCATTGATCTCTTTGTTCAGCTGTTTAATGTCTTCATCATTGTCAAGAACTGAATGGATAGAGAAGCAATGCATATGTTAATAAAGAGCGCAAAATGAACATACTGGGGACGAAAGAAGAGAAGCAGATGATATTTGATCTTACCATCACTTGCCCTGAATTTCTTGCTGATGTAGTCATCTCCAGGGAACCTGGCTCTCTTCTTGTTAGCTGAAGCTCTAGGGCAACCTGATAGACTGGAAACACATCAAGATCATGAGATATGAAACTAGACTTATTGTCTTGATTACATCATCCTTCAATAACCCCAGGCAGGAAGTCAAAAATAGGCATTTCTAATGTTTTAGCTTTAGTTTAGTTCACTTAGCTTGTCCTATATATCAACTAACACTGGTTATTTAATAGAATATGCTAATATTGATCTGTAAATTTCACTAGGCCTCATCTGTACCTGCGATGAGTGAGAAAGCTGCCGTTGGCATGCCCTGATCCATCACATCCTGGTGTGGGGCAGGTAGGGCCCTCAGCCTTGAAGGCCTTCCAGGAGAATGGTGTGCCATTTAACATGCCCTCCTTCTGACGGCGTGCTGCCAGCGGGCACCCATAGGCACTGCGGTGGGTGGCATATTTCCCACTGATATGCCCCAGACTGTCGCAACCTGGCACTGGGCATCTATAGAGAGTCAAGTGATGAACTGGCAGTCAGTCATGGCTTTCTCAAATAATACGAGCTGTGCTCAGCAAATCCACTGGTTTAGTACAACAAACTAAGTTGGGATTTTTTTCATAAAAAAAAAAAAAAAACATACCTAAGGAGCTCCGAATCTTCCTTGTCATCCTTTGTTGGGGTGATTTTTATTCCTCCCTTCTTGGCACGTGGACATCCAGACAGACTTCAACAGAAAAAATGTAAATGTTTATGTTTCCACATGTGCAGTTTGATATTTTCAAAGCTTGACAGTGAATCCAAAAGTGCATGTTGTAATATTGTTCATTAACACACCTTCTATGGGAAGCATAGTTTCCAGTAATGTGTCCTGATCCATCACAACCTGGAGTGGGACATCTGGAGGTCGCCAAGAGAAAGTGAAAAAATGCTTTAGAAAGATACAATTCAAATATCAGACATACAATCATACTGGAAATCTAAATGAACATTTGGGCTTCAGTCTGGATGCTAAATAGTCTCAGTTGGTTTGATGCATCACTAGGACACAGTCCAAGAAAATTCTCTTTTTGACCACTGAAAATGTAAAGTTAATGCTGGTTCAAAGAGTGCAAGAATAGCCAGTAAAGGGGGACAGTAAACAGTGTGTGGCAGAAACAGAAGTGTTAAGTTGAGTCAAAAAAGCAGTAATCAGTAAAGTATGTTGAAGATTCATTAGAGGAAAAATTAGAGCACAGACATACTTGAGTTCAGCACTGTGGGCAGCCATGAGGGTCCGAAGACTTTTATCAGCAAGGGGACAACCAGAGAGACTGAAGAGCAGTAGAAAAACACCAGAATATAGAATAGAGGGAAGAAGATTTCATTGAAGACGGAAGATATACGTATATTCTGTAGGCTAATATACTTTAATTTTGCTCTGTAATCTATGTATGTATTACAAATGGATTCTTTAGTAAAATACATAAATGTAAATTAACCTAAATAATCTACAGAGACTTTGAGTAAATCTTGGCTAATGTGGAACAACTAGTATTTATGATCAAATAAAACTCATAGTAAATGCTAAATGGATTAAAGAGACAGCATTTGTTTGCAGTCACTAACACAGGTTTATGCTATAGAGAGCAGGAGCTGTGAGGGTTCAGCAAAGAGAAAAATAGATAAAGAAAAAAGAAAACATGAATGCGGCTGGTCACACTAGAAATACTGTGCCATAGCTTCTGGCATACCTGCGGTGAGATGCATAGTTCCCAGTTATATGTCCACTACCATCACAACCTGGGGTGGGACATCTGGACAGAGATGAAGAGAGCATTAAATCTCTGTTGAATCATTCCGGTTAATTTATTATTTATTAGCTTTGCAGATGTAGATGTGTTTTGTGTGAGTGTGTGTGTAGTTGTTGCGGCAGACACTTACAGCAAGACCTCTTTCTTGCAGTCCTTGGGCTGAAATTTGACCTTGAAGCTGGTGGTTGTGACCTCACCAGGGTACTTCCTGTCTTCCATGCTTTCCTGAGTGGCATCATCATCATC